AGAACTATAGAGAATAGGATAAAGTGGCAACGTTCTGTTGAACCCCTATGTTCTACTAGGAATCCAGAGGAATAATCACAATGATGTATTACACATGTAAGGTAAATCATGTCTCCTTTATTCCTTCTCATAATCAAGTGAAGTAAAATGGCTGAGCAAATTGAAAATGATTTACTGATGCATATTTTCATTACACTAATAGTACGGACAATATTCTATCCTCCACCGGTGAATACCACATCTGTAAATTGAATTATAAGTAAGTAATTAATTAACTTATACCTTTTTTAATTTATATCACGTAAACAAGTATTGTATTTTAAAAAGGTACAATTGTCCACTGACTGTGAAGTAGCTTAGCTCTCTTTGTAGTTTTTCTATCAACCGTACTAAAGGAATGGCTACGACAATTTTTTTCTTCTGGAAAACTGCATTACAAGTCAAAGATATCTCAAATGCATACCAGAAACTCTTGGTCTTAGTTTTGTTGACCTACAGGGAAGGGAAAACATAAAGAATAGCGACCATAAAGTGCGAACGTACCAATTATGTCGTTGAATTACAGAACCTATTGTGTATTACCCTTCAAAATCCGTTTGTTTACCAGTTTTCAAGTTACATGGCCGTCAAAATGGTTTCATTTATATCAATAACGAAACACTTTCCCTTCCCATTTATTTATTTATTTACAAGGTGAATACAGACAATGGTAATAAATCACTCTAACTCTAACCTACTATCAACTCATTATCCAAACAGTACTTAAAAATAAAACGAGATCAGCATGAAATTTGTACACCAGTTCGTGCACAACGTTCATATTGATGCTGCAATAACGTCAGGTTCTGTAATGCAACGAATGGTATCCGTACAAGGTCACTGATGGGTTCCCACTCTGTGGTCACAATTCCTTAGGTTGGCAGAAAGCACAAAGCGATATCACTAAAGTGACAAGAAGCAGATTTAATTCGAGTGTATGTCTACGTACACGTGTCAAATGACAAAATTTCCCAAATGAATGATGTTCCTGAAATTCGGGTGTTGTTTATGTCTGATTCTTTAAGAAAAACCTAACAAGACAGTAAACCGATAGCCAAATAAACAAGTGCACCTGGTGGTACGCTTTGAAAACTGTTAAAAATAATAGTAAATCCAAAGGTTGGTTTGTCGGGATTTGATTGGTTACAGGATTTCATCATGAGCTGACACTAGTTAGAGAACCATTGGAAAACCGCCTGGAAGTACTGGACAGCTGTTTCGTCCTAGTTTGGGGCTCTTCATCAGTACACACACACCAACAGAAGGTTCGAACCCAGGACCTTCTGGTTACAAGGTCAACGAGCTCGTAGACCATTAAGCCACTGGGACCCCATCCAATGGCCAGTTCATGAATTCTAACTTCTGCTAATTCACGATATAGCGCGACCCCTAGCCAATGTCTTCGGCGAGTATTTGTCCTCACACCCGACCTGATGCACACTACTGGTCACGACTTCTCACTGGAACTCCAGGTAACTACCTACCTGAATAGGGCAAGTCGCTAGTGAGCATCTCATTGATATCCAAGTGTTGGTTTGTAGGGATTAGACTGATTGGTTACAGGGTTTCATCATGAGCTGACATTAGTTACAGAACCATTGGAAAACCTGGGAGTACTGGTAAATTGTTAGAATGAAGTCCTCAATTTCATTGATCAAAAAAGATAGGATTTGTAAATTTTATGATTTTACAGTTCAAATTTGGTTACTAAATATCTTAGATTGTATAGATGACACATTACTTTTGAGCACCCACTGTATGAGCGTACCGCTTTTTCAAATGTCTATGGATACTTTGTGAATATAATGCAAAACAGAAGCATTCAAGTGATGTATAGACACGTCATTGCTCGTTAACAGCTCAGTGGCAGAGCACTTTTCAGGCACGTACGTGGTCCGGGATTCAACTTCTGGTCGATGCATTGCTTAACCTCGCCTAGCTGGTAGTAAGCCAGGCAAAGAAGAAAGGTTGAACATGAGGCCGGCAACTACACCCTGTAAAACGCAAACACCACTTCTACGGAAACTACAAAACGGAAGCTTGAAGCTGCTCTATTTCCCATTCGAAAGGCAAAGGATTAAAATAATAATAATAATAACGATAAGATAGACAGATCATAATTGTGGCACAAAACCGGCAATGGTGTTTATCTTCCTTTCACAGACTCATTACAACACTACATACAGCTTATTCGTTAATGATACAGTCAGAAAAAAGTTATGACTGCCTGAATTGCATAACTAAAACTTTTCAATGTCAGCTTAGAAGTTCTCTTTAAATGTAGGTGTATAAGAAAGTGAAGTTGGCATACTGTTTTGACTGTCACTGGGTTTGACTTTACAATTAATTAGGCAAGGAGAAATAGATCAGTTCATTTAGTATAACCTACTCCTAGTTCGACCACTCCCTCCCCGAGAAGAAAGGGCTAAATTAGGATATGCTATGCGATGTGTTGATAGGCAAATTCAAACTTGAAAACTTTAAATTTATTATCCAAATATACTTGAATAAATATAAGAAAGCAGAACGAATAATAACATTGTTTTGAGAAATTAACAAGTAATTATGTGTGTACGTATGTAAATGATTACAACTTATTTTACAAGTAGATAATCATAAGTAAAGAGAATATTTGTAAATGTCACTGATTCATTGATTAGTCTTTGAACTCATCTATTTTTTTCACTCTGAAGTATCAAACGAAGAACTGTCGGAGAATTAGGGGCTCATGCTGTCAATCAATGATTTAGGGTTGAAATTCAGCCTCTGTCAGTTGTCACTAGTTATGCATAGATAATTATTTACAAGTTTGATGACGACCGGACATCAGTTAGAGAAACACCGGAAAGTCGGGTAGTACTGAGCAGCTGTTTCGTCCTAGTACGGCACTCTCAGCAGTAAGCAGACACTGGAGTCTGTATCCAGGATTTTTACGTTACAAGTCAAGCTGGTAGACCATTCAGAAACTGATATCATCTAGTAATCAAACCTATAACCAGTCAAATCCATGAAAACCGATATTTGAAAAATATTTACGATGTTTTAAATGTTATTATTCATTTCTATTCTGAGGTGAAGAAGATAGGTATCTGATGAATGCATCGACTTGATATGAACCTGTAACTAAATGAAAAAGGTGGCTTGCTTAAAACCTCGGCTACCAAAAAACTTCCATCTCTCTACTGCATATATATGTATATTTTTCCTCTCGTTCGGTTTGTTTTAATCGATTTTAAGATATGACCTTATTTGGTATTATCTACTGTGGTGTGCATTTAAAATTTTAACAAGTTCTTGATTCGTAAATTCCAATTAAACTTGGGGAATTGCCTAATTGTGGGTGGCAACGTGTTCTAATACATGAGATAAATGTTATACAGTTGTCCTTGGGTCTCAAAATGTACTTCTGAACACCTTTCAATTGGCTTTCAACTAGATATCATGGATTTCTTGTAGGAGACAAAGCAGATATATCATAATGGAATGGTGGTTTGTGCTTCAACTCAGAGACCATTGTGTCTGTCACGGGATATACTGTCAAATAAGGTTTTACTTGAAGATATTGTACGAAGAGAGAATAGTATGCAATAAATTCTTCTGAAAATCGTGTACAATCTCTACTTCGACAACGTCGATCGACAGGTTATTTGGAATCTGCTTCGCTACTACAGATGATACACCTCATCCAACAGTTGTACGACAATGCTGCATGCCAAGTAATCCACAACGGGAAACTCACGGAAGATTTCAAAGTAAAGACAGGAGTAATAAAAGGCTGGCTGACTGCCCTCTATCTCCGATGATTTCCTTGATTAAGGTATACTGGATAATGAGACAGACAGCAGGCAACGAGGAAACAGGCATAAAATGGATCCATACAAAAATCTTAGAGGATCTTTATTTCGCCATTGATATATGTCTGATTTTCCACAAACTGGAAGATATGTAAGTGAAGAGCAACAAGTTGGCGATAGAAGAAGCATAAAAGATAGGACTTCTGGTGAACATAGAGAAAACAGAGGTGGTGATGAAGATCCGCGGACATCAGCAACAACAACAACAGACAATAATCAGCATAAATGAAAGGAATCTGAAAGAAACAACCTCCTTCACCTACGCGGGAGGCATCGTTTCGACTACAGGAGGACGGAACTGACGAGGATATCAAAGCAGCGAGGGTCGCGAAAGCAAGACAAGCTTTCATTACTCTCAAGCCTGAGTGGCAGTCAAAAACACTCAAAATTACAAACAAGATTCGAATTTTCAACTGCAATAAGAAGTCAGTGCTATTATACGCATCAGAGGCTTGGCGCGTCACAAAGGGTACTTCAAACAAACTACAGACATTCATGAAGACCTGTCTTCGCTCAATAACACTCAAGATCAGATGGCCGACCAGAAAAAATCTAGCAATGAACGAACCAACCAGGAGTTGGTTATGCAACAAACCATTAGGTAAATGACATCACACGCCAGGCCATCGCTTGACTGGAACCCGAACGGAAAGCAACGAATTGGTCATCACTGCGAGGTTGACATGGAAGAGATCATGTGAAGAGGAGGTGAAAGCATGTGAGCAGACTTGGAGCCACGTGAAAACGTTGGCAGAGAATCGAACGCAATGGAGACGTGCGACTGAAGCCTTATGTTCGTCTAGGAACTAAAGGAAGCGATGATAATAATAATAATATCAATCTAGAATAAAGATATTATTATTATAGCATTCAAAATGTCCTACTGAATTCTTCCATTACTATATTCTAATTATATTACAAAAATACTTCATGTGACATGATTCTTATTTTTTGTTAAGTAATGCATAATGAGTATTATTCAGGCCTTCTCCAGCTAAAGTTACCTGCTAGTATAGCATAAAATAATGACTAAAAAAATAAGTACACATCATGAAGATAAGGTTAAATAAAAAAAATACACTCAGGAGATTTCTGAGCAGTACTCACCAGCTTTTTTGAAAGTTTTACGAAATTGTACACGTGAAAACATTATTTTTTTTTCTAAAAAGTTATATTTTCTCTTCCTGTTCTGTTTTAAATTATCCACAAAATTTATCTGCTTTAGATAATAAAGTATAATGATGAAAATAGATTGATATTTGTTGTAGTGACAACAACGACAACAACAACAATCACAGCACCAACGGTAGCAGTTATGTAATACAAAGCGTAATTAAAGTATCAGAGTAATAAATGTTGTATGAAATTAATCAATGCAATACTTTTCTCTTTTTCTTTTGATAGTATGATACTCCTTTTTTGCAAAATAGAATATGGATGTAAATACAGTCTAGTGCTTCAAACAGTTCATCCGAATGAATACATAAGAATAATCATAATACTGAATTAGTAGTAAAAGTAGTATGTGTACATTAATGACATCTATATATTATTATCGTTGTAATAATCCACGCACACATATACGTCATTCATTTGTCTCCAAAATTTACAATTAATATATGTATATCATATATATGCATATCACTTCCAAAATACGATATTCATATTATTATTATTATTATTATGTTGTTGTTGTTCTACAGAAAGAGGGCATTAATCATAGTATTGCACATCGATGTATGTCTGTTCGGGTAATATGGGGTAGTGTTAAAGCGCGTATAGAAATCTCTTAGGATATTCTGAGTAATGCCAGCTTATATATATATATATATATATATATATATATATATATATACTAGGTTTCTTTGTGCACAAAATATGTTTAGCTACATGGAGAAAAGATTTTATTCGTCTAGGTGAACAAGAAGATGCACAATTCTGTGCTAATCTTTCCCTGTTAAAATATCCTACCCACCCACCCACACACACACACGCATGCAAGCAAGCAAACAGTCATAGTAATTAATTTTTCCAACAATCTTATGATTCGTTCAGCTATCGTGATATATATTCACAGTTAGAATTCGCTTTAATACAGTTAATACATGTACATGTACAAACAGGCATGTATAGGTGTATAGTAGGTGGGGGGATATTATTACATAACTTCATTTCTCTGTCGGTCACTTTATAACCTATAAAAAAAGAGATTATCACAATTCTCGTGTAGATGATATGTACATGCATTATATTATTTCCCTAGTACTACAGTCGTATATACAGGTATTAGAGATGAACGGTCTAAATTTATGTATATACATATATCTTTGTACACATACATGTATATCGATTATTGTCAATATAACCATTACTATTATGATCGTAAAACACAAGTGGTATATATATATATATGTAAAAAGGCAGCTTCAAAGAAATAAACACATGGAAATCTTCAAAAATTCCACAGGTAAAACTGTCTGCATGTGAATAGATCCCTATTGTGTGTAGTTAAGGTGTCTTTTCAGTCTAATAGTACACATATCCCCATTTACGTATTGTGTCTGTGTGTGCGTAAGTGTGCATATTCGTGTGTTTGTGCGTACATTTCTGGCAGAGTAAATCGGACGCACAGAGTTACACATCCACACACACACACAAGATTATACCGTATAGTTCTATTATTTTCTTAAAATACGAAGTAAACAAAAATCTGAAAAAGGGTGGAAAAACATGGATACACACAGCCTTTTCAAATGACTAACTTTAAGCCTATAAACAAAATCTCAGCTTGAATTTTTATTATTATAATTAGTAATAATAGTATTACCTTTTTTATTTTGATCTTGGCATTATTTTCCTGGAAATTCTAGCGATTAACTAATCAGTATAAATAAAGTATTTTGTGGATGATTGTTTGTTGATGTGATCAGAAAATTGCCTTATACCAAAATAATGACTTACAAAACAATCAGTCATCACCTAATTCAATTCGAATATAAAATTCTGCATGTACTGATGTAAATTTTCCACACTTCGATTCTTTGGTTTCATGATTTCATCATGAGCTGACATTAGTTAGAGAACCATTGGAAAACCGCCTGGAAGTACTGAACAGCTGTTTCGTCCTAGTTTGGGGCTCTTCAGCAGTACACACACACACCAACAGAATGTTCGAACCCAGGACCTTCTGGTTACAAGGCCAACGAGCTCGTAGACCATTAAGCCACTGGGACCCGATCCAATGGCCAGTTCATGAATTCTAACTTCTGCCAATCCACGATATAGCGCGACCCCTAGCCAATGTCTTCGGCGAGTATTTGTCCTCACACCCGACTTGCTGCCCCCTACTGGTCATGACTTCCCACTAGAAACTGAATAGGTCCAGTCACCAGTGAGCATCTGATTGATTCTTGATAAATATTATTTATTTTTATTATTTTTGATTACAGCTTGATTCCACACTGTATTTTTGGTACAAGTATGGAATTTTCAGCATGGATATCGGTAGCCCAAATTTTGCAGGCCGACCATAGATATCAGGTGTGCGTCGGCAGGGGATCGAGAGTCCTAACCACTGTGCCACCGACGCAGTCTATGAAGAATTGGTTTGGAAATTTTTTGATTGGTTACACATTTGATCACAAGCTGTAATCAGTTAGAGATCCCCTGAGAAACAGACAGAGTCCCTGTATGTAGTAAAATCGTCTAAGAGCTCGCCTTGTAAACGAATGGTCATGGATTCTAGACCAAATGGATACGTACTGCTGAAGAGTACCAAATTATTATTATTTATCTCTTTGATTCCCTTAAGTTCCCCAGTGAGACACATATGACTTCAAGCCCTTTTTAAACTTTGAGGTTTCAGCAACTGTGATTTAGTCTTTTATGAGGTGCAACTGCTAGCTTCACACACTACTGTCCCTCTTCGTTAGGCTTACTTATCAGACTAAGCTGCGTTTAGGCGTATGTCGCCGGGGGGTCGAACCTTAGACCACATGAGTTGTAGGTGGCGACAGCATTCTACCAACGAACCACAGATTGACTGACTGGCTTCAACATAGAAGTTTACACCTATGTGCAGCATTTCAAGTCGCCATACTCCCTCCATGTAGCATACAAAGCAAGAGAAGAAAGTAAAAACAAATGCAAAATAGAGACAGTAAGCAGAGATATGAAGCAAAAAGAATAGTAATGTCAAAGAACAGTATAGTTTTATTGAGTATTATAAGTCATATGGAGTGAATGCATCTGCGCTAGTCATTGAGAACGATTTTGAACCATATCACCAACTGTCTCCAGCCACAGACGCAAAGCATTCATACTAGTGAGTATCTACCCTCCAAAATTGTAACAACTTGTAGTCTATGCTAGTTACGTAAGGGGAACGAAAGACTCAGACAAAATCAAAAATCTGTTCAGTCTATTCTTGAATCAAATAATTACCCAAAAACTATTGAGGCAGTCAGAAACGAACTCATAACTCACCAAGAACTAGAACTTAGGACACAAGTACCACTTGAGAACATAATGCTGCGAGTACAGCTATGCCTGACTTCCAAAGAATTTAAATTCCGAGGGAAACTATACAAACAAACTGAGAGAGTTGCCATGGGATCACCAATATCCGCGGTTTTAGCAGATATATTCATGGATAGGTGGGAAAACATGGCGATTGAAACGTCCACCCCCACCCCATAAGTATGGTGGGGTAGGTACGTAGATGACACATTCACTGTACTTAGAACACAAGATATAGATAGATTTTTCGAACACATCAACTCGAAGGTGCAGGTAATTCAATTGACTTATGAATTGGAAAGTCAGAAAGGGGAGCTTCCAGTGTTAGATTGAGGCGTAAAAGGGGAAAGAAGAAGGGAAGTTAAATACTATTGTTTACAGAAAACACACACATTCAAACAGATATTTGGACATCCGATCATCCTATCCTATGTCAGTGAAAATAGCATTGGTGAAATGTTTAAGTGACAGAGCACAAAAACTAAGTAGCACCAAGGAGAGTCTGAGACAGGAAGTGAAACACCTAAAAGAAGCCTTGAAACTTAATAATCACCCGGATAAATTAGTCAGGAAATATGTGAAGAAATGTAAAAATAAAATAAATAATGATAGCAGCGATAGTGACGATAATAATAATTATAGTAACAATAATAATGATAATAACAACAATAATAGTGATAACAATAATATTAATGACGACACCAACAATAAGGAGTCCGAATTATCAGTAGTAATTCCATACAAGGAAGGAACCTCGAAAACCTTACGAAGAATTCTTAACAAGGCAGGAATAAAGGTGGCTGACATTCAAACCAACCACAAACTCAATTAGAAACATGCCTAGTCAGTTAAAGGACCCTGTGGAGCCTTCAAAACAAAACAATTTAGTTTATCTAATACACTCCCTGCTAGAATGATTGTCAGGTCAAATACATAGGTCAAACTAGTAGAACATAGGCAGTCAGGCTAGTCAAACATAAAAACCTAGCAAAATCTAGATTAGTTGACCCGAATAAGATAAGAAATCTAGAGAATAGTTCAGCTATAGCACTCACTGCATGCAATTAAACTCAACCGTACAATAGACTGGATGGGATAAGATGGAATTTTAAAATCTAATCTAATATAACAGGGTGGAGGGAGAGATTAATAACAGAAGCTTTGTTTATCGAATCAACTGCAAATACATGTCCTAGGAAAGATTCAACACCTGTCCAGCTAGATATCTGGAAAATTCTACTACCCCGACGACGACAAATAGGAGAAGACAAAGAAAACTATAAAACTCAGGTTTCGACGTCATGTGATTATAATTGATGAAATGATTATGAACAATAAATCTTGTTCGAAACGTCATCCAGTAAATAATACTGTTTCTTCACTGTGTGATGCATCAATAAACAAACTAATACCTTTATATAAAAGTATTTAAAAAAGAGATTAGCGTTATATCGAAACCTCCTGTTAAAGATTGTGTTAGTACTGTAAGATAAACAGAATTCTTAAAAGTAATGCATTGTCGTGCAATGAACATCTTACTCTAGTCACTGCCAAAGATTAGGGTTAAAATAGAAGAAAACAACCAAAACAAGTACGTATGTGGTGAGAGCAGGCCGTGAGAAAAAATGTTCAAGGCTGATTCAACAACCAATCATAGCAGACTTAACATGGAAAGTATGATTCGCAGATAGAGAACTCTATTTTTCGAGGAATCCCGAAACAACCAATCAGAAGCCTGCGTTTGTCTACTTGCATAAGCTATAATAATGTATGTGAAATATATATAAATACGTTTTGATTTTCGTAATAAAACGATCTGTTGCCTGGCCCTTGTCTTCTGTTGTTACACGTATACCAAATAAATTGTGGTGTGTGCTACTGACAAGATTTATCAGTAGTATATATAGACGCAGATTAGTGAGAATTAACCAAAAATGAAAACAATATTTTAAGTCCGCGGCTACACAGGAAGAAGTATTCATTCCTCAGATCTAGATATGACTTTCATTGTAGCCAGAAAATAATCTCTTTGGAAAGCTTTTCGTGTCAAGGTTTAATCTTCAGAAAGACAACAACCAATTAGAACAGTTTAGTATCGGCTGCCCTAGTCGATCTTAAATGGGTTGTTTTACCTTAATAAAAATGTCCCTTACCAAGTGTCTTGTCCTCTTCTGTTACTAAATGTGGAGACTGTGATACTGAACATGTAGGAGAAACTTCTAGGTAGGTAAATTTAAGAGGAAGACACCATAAACAATGCCTCCTAGTAGTTTGAAAAACTTCAGTAGAATTGAAGAAAGTAGAAAACAAACCAGCGATTGCATTACATACAACACAAATTGGATAAAAAGTCGATTTTGAGAAAACGAAGGCTCTACAGAAAGGTTTAATTTCATATAAAGTAGCATTGAGTGCACAGGCTCTCCAAATGTAGGAGAATCCTTAAGCTTTGAATGGACGTGACGGTGTGATAGTAGGTGATACATGGCAAGTTTTGATAAACAAATTCAAAGGATATGTGTCACTAATTCGTTATCCGAACTATCTGAATTTTCCAAAGCAACATTTATTTGTGTTTTATTGAAAGTGCCAATGTTTTCAATGTGGTAACTGAAAAGTCAAATTGATACCCAATAACTCACATTTGAAAGCAACATTAACATCATTACAGGATTGCATCATGAGGTAACATCAGTTAGAGAACCATTGGAAAGCCAACAGGGAGTACTGGATACCCGTTTCGTCCTAGTCTGGGACTCCTCAGCAGAATGGATACACCGCCAGAGTTCCAACCCAGGACTTCCCGGTCCCAAGGCGAGCTCGTAGAGCATGAAGCCAGTGAGACCCAATCCCGCAGCCGATGTGTATTGCTTAAGAGTCCCAAACTAGGACAAAACAGCTGTCCAATACTGACAGATTTTCCAGTCGTTCTCCAACTGATAACAGACTACCACGAAATGCTGTAACCAATCAAATCAAATACCTGCAAACCATCACTTAAGGATTTTGAGATTATTGACAAGTGACATGCAAGTTTTTATATATATTCATACACAGCATCCTTGTTACGTACTAGGTCACCATAACTCCCATTGGAACATTTCAATTACAGACTGGTATAAAACTGCGGTGTTTAACACAAACTAGACTAATAACAGTTCTTTTGTTGGAGAGTGACTAGCGGTGAAATTCAAGATGTTCTTTGATATTTCAAACTAAGAGTACTGGGTTCGCATGTCAATGAGAACATCATTACTTATTGTTGAATACAACCACATCCAGTAGATGACGAGTACCATATGGGATGAAGTGTGCATCATGCATTCTGTTGTTGTCAGTCACCATCCCCCAAATTACTTCAAGTTAATCCTCAGGTATTGTCAAAAAGGAAGCAGAATTTCCAGTGAACATCGACCCCCACGACGAAATCAGAAGTCCTGAATGCAATCAAGATGCTAAAAGCTGTAGAAGCAGCAGGACCAGATGGAATCCAAACAGAAGAATTGAAAATGCACCCAGAGACAACAGCGGACTTGATGACGCCATTGCTAGAGAAAGTGTGGAAAGAGGGAAAATGTACCAGAGGATTGGAAGAACGGATGCTTATTCAAACTACCGAAGAAAGGAGACATAAGCCAAGGCAAGAACTGAGGCGGAATTATGCTCCCGTCCATCCCAAGCAAAATAATAAGCCGCATCATCCTGAAGAGAATCAAACAAGCCCTGGATGCAAAACTTCGACCGGAACAAGTTGGATCCAGGCGAAACACGTCATGTATTGATCAAATCACCACTCTACGGATCATCATTGAACAAAGCTTGGAATGGCAGTCACCTCTCTATCTCAGCTTCATCGACTTTGAAAAGGCCTACGACAGCGTCGAGTGAGAGGTCATTTGGCAACTACTTCGCTACTACGGGGTCCCATCGACAATTATACATCTCATCCAACAGTTATACGACAATGCTGCATGCCAAGTAATACACAACGGGAAACTCACGGAAGCCTTAGAATTAAAGACAGGAGTGAGACAAGGCTGCCTACCATCGCCAATGATTTTCCTGATTGCAGTAGACTGGATAATGCGACAGACAGCAGGCAACGAGGAAACAGGCATAAAATGGACTCACACAAAAATGATGGAGGATCTGGACTTTGACGATGATGATATATGTCTGATTTCCCACAAACTGGAAGATATCTAAGTGAAAAGCAACACGTTGGCAGAAGAAGCATACAGGAACGATAGGAATTCAGGTGAACATAGAGAAAACAGATGTGGTGAAGATTCCTGGACAACGGCAACAGCGACAACAACAGACAACAGTCAGCCAGCATGAATGGGAGGAACCTGAAAGAAACAACCTCCTCTACTTACCCACCTGGGAAGTATCGTCTCAACTACAGGCGGAACTGACGAGGATATCAAGGCAGCGAGGATCGGGAAAGCGAGGCAAGCCTTCATTACTCTCAAGTCTGTGTGGAGGTCAACACCACTCAGAATGAAAAATATCATCCGGATTTTCAACTCCAATATGAAGTCAGTGCTACTTACTATACGGATCAGAGACTTGGAGCGTCATAAAGAACACCTCAAACAAACTACAGACCTTCATCAGCAGCTGTCTTTGATCAATACTCCGCTCAAGATCAAATGGCCGGCCAGAAGAGATCAACAACAGGAATCTCTGGTGATGAACGAACCAACTCAGCAGAAACCGATTAAGCAACAAATAGGCAGGAAGAGATGGAGATGGATTGGCCATACTCTGAGGAAATCATCAAGTGACATCACTAGACAAGCCATCGCTCTAGTGGAACCCGAAAGGGAAGCGGCGAGTTGGTCGTCAATGCAAGGGTGACTTGGAGGAGGTGATGTGAAGAGGAGATAAAAGCATGTGGGCAGACTTGGAGCCAGGTGAAAACATTGGCAGAGAACCGAATGCAATGGAGACTTGGGGCTGAAGCCCTATATTTCTCTAGGAATTAAAGGAAATAATTATAATTGTCAAAACTCCCACATCAGGAGCTGACAACGTTAACAGATTCCAAACATTTCGGTCAAACCAATCAAACGATAGAAGCAAAATTAACTTTAATAATAAGTTTGTGTTGATACTATTTAAAGTAAGATTGATTCAAGGAAAGGAGAAATATAGGAAAATAGTTAATCCGTTGAACAATATCTTTGTTAATTCGTAAAGCATTAAAATCAAATGTGTAGCTATAAAATTCAATCTGAATAATGCTAAATTACTACTTAAATATACTTGGCACCCCAAACCACCACGAAATGAATTTAATAAAACACAGATCAAACTTTATTACTCAGGAGTAGTAATAAATTTAGGAATAACCTTAAGGTCACTGAAATAAAAAATGTGAATCTGCATGTAATTATTATGGAGAAAATTAACTGAAACAACTGATCAATGTTAAATGATTGGAGATAATCCGCACAAGAAGTATTTACATTGACACCCATCAGCACGACGTATCTGTAACATCGAAGGAACTGATGTCCTTCCGCGAATCTGACCTGCATCACTCACTAGTACAGTCAGAAACCGTTACCACTAAGCTATTTGGACTTACTACAGACCTCCTGTCGATTGCCTCTCCAATCATTTTATACCAATCCAAAATTCGCTAAGATAACTAGCCAGTCACCTAGACTGGTGACCACACTGCAAATTTGACTGATAAAAAGTCAGTGGACACGAACACTAAATACCAGACACGTGGTAACAGTTACATCCTTAAGACCAGTCAGTGTAACTAGTTTTTTTTTTATTGCTCTACTTTCCTAGTGGAACATAGGGCTTCAAGCTAGAGCTTTGAAGTTTCAGGAGGAGTGGTGTCTACTCTTATGGGGTGGAGTTGCTAGCCTCATA